TTATACCCATCACCCATTTAGCCCACCCCTACGCCTTCCCTCCAATAACCATCCTTTCTCTATAGTTAACTAGATTTTTAAAAAAATATCTCTCCATTTTGGCAATATGTGTTGGAGTTATGTTATCAGGTACATAGGTTTAGGATTGTTTTCTTAACATAGCATTGACCCTTTTATCATTGTGAAATGTTCCCCTTTACCTTTAGTAATGTTTCTTAAAGTCTCCTTCATCTGATGTTGGTGTGGCTATATCAAGCTTCTTTTGGTAGGATGATAGATTTTTCAAACTGTGAGTAAATTTACAGGTGGACTGATTCAACTTCATTGTTTACATAAATTGAGGCTTTTAATTCTGTTGAATTTGCTGGGTGTTACTTTCAACTTAGCATTTAAAAACCCTTAGTGCCATTCTAGTTCTTCTGAGTTCTTTAGAAACATACTTGATTAAAGGGGCATCAACTCATGTTCTTGTTATACCCTTTTCTCAAATTTGCATTGGTTAATCTTTTTCAGGAAGTTGGAGAAGTGTTCTAAGTCAGGGCCAGCTCATAATCTTAGTAACTATTACAGCCTTTTCTGGTTAATTCTATCCTTTCAGGTGTCAGTGCTGCTCTTGTAGGCTTTGCTCAGGCATCATTTTCAGGAACTGCTTTTTCCCTACACTGTGTGTCGTTGGTGATTCAAACTCTTGCTCTCTATCTGCCCCCAAACAGTCTCTAGACCTGTTCTGACTACTGTCTCTTTCCTGGGTGCTATTCTGGGGCATCTTACTCTGACACACTTAGGGAAGGATTTTGGGGCCTTCTCTTACTGCCCTGTTGTGTCCTCTACATTTGGACTTGAATGTGCTGCATTGTGCAGAAGGCCAGACAGCCTCCATGTTTAATAATGATGAAGCAACTGAGGCCTAGAGGAATGATGACTTGCCTGGGTCCATATACTTAAGGAGCAGCAGAGATGGATTTGATCCCCTTGCCTTATTCTTAGGTACTTGTGTTGTTATTATTTTTTTTAAATCACTTGTTTTCTATGTTTAAAGAAGAACATCTTGGCTCTGCTGTTTATTAAGCATCTAACCTTGGGTAAGTCAATTCACCTACCTGTGACTTGGTTTTCTCATCTAAAAAATGGATTGATAACTATTTCATGAGGCTGTTCGAGGTTAAAGAGGCTAATCATACAAAACTCACAGTACCTATCGCACCTGGCCTATAGTAACTACTAAAGTTATCTGCTACGATGATAATGATCAAAATGTTGAAATCTTATTTTGTGAATATATTCCACAAAATTCATGAAATTAAATTCTACATAGAAGATTTTTAATTTTCCATTAACTTTAATTTTTACAATTGTTCTTCTGTCCCAATGGGTGAGATTATTTGTGTGAAAAAAATTAAGTCACCAAGAAACCAGCTGCACTACTGAGCTCTGTAATTGGCCACCGCTGATAAAATAGCTCTTTTCCAACATCGGCTTTTCTTTTATAGTGCTCATTTCACTTTTGGGCTTAGCTGCCATTGCAGGCTATTTTTTTCTCTTTTTGGACTAGAAGCATTTTGTTGAGAACCACCCATGTTTTCCCTCTTTTGATGGTTGACATAATCTCAGTGCTTGGTAATCAATAGCACTGTAGTATCTGGCTTGACAGTCTACTTCTCCCGATACTGCAGATGGAAAATCACTGTTCTTCAAAACCCTGGCCAGTAGAGATTTTCTAAGGTATTAGGGTCAAATTTCATGTCCTCTACCCACAGTGAAGGATGTTTATTGCTACTAATATCTATGCCTTTTTGGAACAGTTTCTACATTGATCATTAGAAGTTCTCTGTAAAATGGTCTTCTTTCCATAATGCATATGCATTTGTTTCCTTTTCCAGTTCATCCTTGTGACTATTTTTAATTTTAAGATTCCAGTAGTGTTTAAGTTAACTGTGTATTATTTGAAATTTATGATAAGATACTCTCAGAGGAAGCAATGTTTGTTATTTTTCAATACTTTAAGAACCTAAAAATGTAAGTTAGGAGATTTATTGTATAACACATTTACTAGAGATATTTTCAAAATAATTTACATTTTATATATTAAGATATTTGTGCAAAAGGTAAATTAATGTCACAATCCTGAAAAACACGGTAAACCCTTCCAATTGATTAATTGTGTGAAACTAGACATATATGTGAACATCTTTTCATGTTCGATCAGTTTTATTCCTGGTGGTAATAAAACTAAGTAAATGAAATGCAAAATCCTGACTGCAAGGTAATGGTTGAAGTTTTTACATGCATAAAGGAGTCAGGGTGAATTTATGGTCTTATAATGGCTGTTGGCTGCTAATATTGTATGTATATTTTTAAAATGATCTATAGCTCCATGCCCGAAATGCCATGGAGACAAAATCACAGTTAGTACGTGCTGTGTTTGTTGATTTACCTCCCTTGGACATGTAAAATATTAACTGAGATGACTTTGATAGAGCTTGTCTGTTTTTGTTCAGGATTGGATATGTGCTCATCATGAGTCTCCTCTTTTCTGAAGTGTACAAAATGGCAGTATCGATGTGAGATGGTCATGTTAGAATTGCAGTTTTTTAATATTCTAGTGATATGTAGTTCACTTAAAAAGTTTTTTGGATTGAATATATGATTCTAAAATGTTCAAAATAACTTTTTTACTTGATTTAGTACTGTGGGACTTTTTTCGGTACTCCTTGGAATCACAATTAGAAGATTAGAGATAGATGTCATAGTTGCAACTCCTAGTTCTTATCTTCCAGAAAATCTTAGATCCTGCAAGCATGAGTGATGGCAAAATGCTGTGTGACTTAAGAACCCCATCATGCTGCCACCTGTCTGCTCCTTCCTGTGCTACTGGTCACATCCCATCCCCTCTTACCTCCTGAGTTTTCCTATTTTAAATCAGAATCCTTGGTTTTCTCCTCTGTGTTCCTACCTCTAGGCAGGAACACAGGCACATTTTAACTTACACTGCAATAGTTGGGGGTAGTTGTTTACCTCTGTCTTAGGTGATAAAATCTGCTTTTATAAACTGAGCATGAGAAAAAAGGAGACAACTTAATAGATATCTGCTTTCAATTAATTGAATATATATATAAAAAAAGCAAACTCTTCAGAACTCTTCAGAATACATCACCTTTTACAAACATGGTTAGAATCAACAGATTTCATCTACAGTGCTGTAATATAGCAAAAACCAACTCAATGGATATTAATAGAAATTAATTAAATTGAACTCCCTTTGTAAGAAGGCAATTTTGACAAGGAAAATGTAATACCCTGTAGATTTCAATTAGAAGTCCTGGGTATATTTGGAAAAAAATACATTGCTGATGGCATGGCCATAGCCAAAAGACTGAATTCCCAAAGATTATAGGGGGAGTTCTTTCTTTCTGTACGGTCCAATGGCTGTTATGTAGTGTTTTATCTACTCTAGTATTCTCCTTATTTAGAATCCAGTCTATTGTACTATTCTGCACTATTGTAAAGCTCACCTTTTATAGCACAATCACCTTGAATTGGTAAGGATCTCGGATTAAAGAATCTGAGTGACGGGTGTGCTGTGCTTTTCTTTACCTGGTTATACAGTGACTGCTCCTATCTTTGTGATCTCTCTGGGTAAGAGAATCAGGTGGTTCAAGTTTCCCAATCATCAGTGTTTCCATTTATAAGACTAGTATTAGACGCAATGAAATTCCTTTCATTTAACTTGGAATAGCTTTTCAGGTACTCTATAGAAAACTTAATTTTTGAAATGTCAAAGGAGAATTCCTTTGGATTTTTTTTTTTTAAGCCTATGGCTTTACCAAGTCAGATTACTAAAAAGCTATATACTTGGGCTACATTTCAGTAGCCCTCTGCATAGATGCTTTGAAAGCATTACTTTTATTTAATAGTATGTTCTTGCATTTTATTGGGGGCCAGGTAAAGAGGAGCCTGTGTGACAACCATTTCTATTAGTTTTTGTAAAATTGCAGTTGAATTCTGGACTATGTTAGTTCTTATCCCTTCTAAAGATTCATACGATAAAGGCTTAGCACTTTATCCTAGAAGAATTATTCGCACTTTGAGAAGCTTTCTAAGAATCACAGAGCCGAATTGATAATAGCTCGGGTATTCTGGAAAAAACTTGCTAATGTTTTTCTTCATTCATTGGTTCATGTCTTTGCCTCATTATTCTGGTTGACCTTCGTGTCCTTTCTGGAAGTAGGCGGCTGCATCATTTAATTCTGAGCTGCAGCATCTGAGTGTTTAGCCACATATCAAATTGAGAAAACAATTCCTTCCCTTAAGCCTTACTTTCCTAAGCAGGTTTTTAAAAAAGTACTTGGAAATCTCCTAAATCACTTCTCCTGTTCAGCGAACTCCTCGTTCAGCTCCAAACACAGTTCAAGTCGCTGCTGTGTAGAGCTCTTGCTCTATGTGACGTCTCAAATGTTGGGGAGGACAGGCATGGAGTGTGGAGATTTAAAAAGATGAAGAGGTCAGCGGTTACTCCGTGCCATTGATAGATTCTAAACTGACAACTGTTGCCATCAAAGATTTCTGCCTTTTGATTCCCCCCACCACCCGCCCCTCGCCTACAACTTTGGGAATCTTAGTCTGAATTTCTAATCCCATTTCAAAGAGTGCCCTCAAAAAGTTCTTTTTTCTTCCCCCAAAGTATTCTTGGGATTACCTAAATGAAAGTTATAAAAAATTTCGTGAATACACTTTTCAAATAACTGTGGCACTTTTATCTTTGCATTGTAATTTATCTTCTAGGATAATTGATGAAATAGGTCTGCTGTGATTTACTGATCTCCCTGAAACTGGATAAAAATGGCAGATGTTTATCGAAATAGAAGTAACATTTATTTTTGGTGTTCAAACATTTCGTTACTAAAGCCCACTTTTTAAATTGTCAACTTTTTTTTTTTTTTAAATTAAACTGTATTTTTAAAACGTCTACATCATGAAACTTGTTGATTGTTGTACCATAGGATCCTGGCTACTGGGTGAAGATTCATCACTTAGAATACACAGATGGAGGAATCCTGGACCCAGATGATGTTTTGGCAGATGTTGTTGAAGACAAAGATAAGGTAGATGACTAAAACTCTTCTGTTTTCCTCCGTAGAGCTCCGCGTTTCCTAGAGATTGAGATCCTTAACAAATGCATGTGTCCGTTATTATTAAAAGATACCATCTGTTCAGGCTTTACCTGAACAGCCCATAAATCAAAGTTCTTCATCAGATGTTTGGAAAAACTTTGTCAAGGTTTGGGAATCTGTTCATGCTGGCCTAATTAGCAGACACTTCATTCCCAAGAGTTCCTCATGCGTCTCTGTAAATTAGTGTCAGGCACCAAGGCTGTTGGAGTTCCCGTTGCCACTGCTGGCTCTGGGGTTTCTTCTTGGCCTTTGCTAGACAGTCAACTCAATACCTGTGATTTGAATGTGTTTCAAAATAGAGAAAACAACAGGCAGACAAATCTTATGAGGAACTATGGTGAAGATTTTTTCTTTTTCTTTTTTTTTTTTTTTTATAAAGTAGCTGGCAAAACCCCATCTTTTATTATAGTTTTTGTTTTCATTTCTTAAAATAAAAACAAAATACTAAATGGAATATTCCAAAAAGTTGTAACATATTTTGCCACCTACTTGGGAGTAACCCTGTTGCAAATATCTTATTTTAATTAGATTTTTCTTCTGATGATAAACTGGAAAAGGTGTGAGAGGAAACTTCAGTGGCCATGCACTGAATTTTTGCAGTTGAGACATATTGTTTTATGGCCGCTTCTGTGTTGGACTCCTCTTATCAGTGGCTCCTGTGTCCTCCGGAATTGAACCACAGCGCTCCCAGAGGGATCCTGGCTTCAGTGTTTCTTCTCCTGTGTGTCCTCAGTGCTGTTTGTACTAGGCTAATTTATGTGTGTTTATGTGTTTCTCTCTTTTGTTTTTCTGCACTCTCTGGGGTGTGTGTGTGTGTGTGTGTCTGTGTATGTCTGTGTGTGTGTACCAACTGCCCTGGAATGTAAGTGATTTAGTGAACTCGGATAAAATTTACATTTTTCCTTTTCTGTAAGATCTTTTTGGACTGTTCAAATTTCCAAAAGTCTTTGTGGACCTTCTGTCCATTTATTTGCCCTGTTTTCTGTTGGAACTCAACCTTGGTTTGCTAATTTGCTTTGTTTTATAATTACTCATTCCATAAGGGACTTACCTCCCTAAATAGATTGTAAGTTCTATGGGACATGGACCAGAAGATTTTTATTTCCTTTGTGTTCCTTGTATTAATAATATCTGGTACATTCTCTTATTCATTTTGATTCTCAAAGAACACTTGCTGCTTGGTCTCCCAGAAATTAATAATACTATTTACATTGATAACGTTAAGGGATGACTTTCACATCTGTATTTCTGTTTCACTTTCTGTCTTCCTGCAGCAATCTTCTTATTTTGAAATAGTCCAGGCATTTGGTCTGTTTGTTAATGAAGAAGGTCTTCCCTTCTCAGATTTCACTGATGCCTATTGTATTAAACGCCAAAAAGTAGCAAGTTTATGAAGGCCCAGAAGAAAATGTCTCACCCCAGCCTTGTCCAAGACCTAATTATAGGAAGGATGTTCCCATGAATGGTGCTGAGGGAAATCATTTGTCCTACAGAGCTCTTCCTTTAGAGAATTCTTTTTAACTATCCTGGCAGTGCCCTTTTAACTATAATCCATTTACTAGACACAGAAACAGCTTTTATTATATGTAATCTTGGTTTTAAAGGGACTTCACTGCTATTGAGTCAGGTGAAAAAAAATGAGGTAGTCTTTTAAAATCCTAGCAAAGGATTAGGGCTGTTTGGGTACAGGTGTACCTATTTCCTTAATGTACTTTCACATCAAATACACGGCGCCTAATTGCTATTGTGCTGCAGAGCAGATGAGAATGTACGCTTTGGATATTGCTGGGGAAAAAATACATGCTCCCATTTTTTCCTTTTTAAAAATAATGTCAGCGAAAAAGAGAGCATCACTTTTTTTTTTTTTCCCCTGACATCATCTCTGCAGTCTGAAGAGTTTCTGATAGTTTACGTATCTAGTATGGAAAGAAGGTTCCTCCAGACTTTGTTTGACCTTACTTTTTTGTAAATTTAGATTGAGAAGTAATTAGAAGTGATACTTCTAAATGTTTAGTGATCTATCAAATTCACCCAAGATCCGTGGAGACAATATCAAGCTTAGATAAAATCACAATCCACCTCTTTTCAAATTGGCTATCTAATAATCTCTTGCATTCACGATATGGAATGCAAGCCCAGAGAGGCATGGGTGGATGTACAGAATCCTTGGAAATCCTCCCTAGGAAAGCCTCTCACTACAGGTGAAAATTTGATAGCCCAACCCCAGCAGAGGAAGCAGGAGAAACAGAAATTTAGAATCAGAAAGCAGAGCTGGCTGAGGTCATTTACTGAGTGTCAGAGCCATCTGGTAAACTTCTGCAAAGACTGAAATTAGAGGCTGAATGGCATTCTACTTACAATCCCACGGTTTCCGAAGTAAATGACTTTCGAAACCTCTGGTACCAGAGGTGGTTTGCCTTTGGTCTTATCTCAGTTACTCCTTGGGCCAACACAATGCGTGGTGCACGTGGTGCCTCTTTGGGAGGTTTTTTGGTCCTGTTTCAACTTGCTTTCCCAGTAGAGTCCCTTCATAGGCGAGCCTAGATAACCATGTTGCACTATTTCTATGCTGTTGTCTTGAAATATTATTGGAGCAGCTTTGGAATTTTGCATCTTATGATAACTAATATTTGTATAAAATCTTATGCTGTGACTTAATTCTCCAGTTGTAACACCCATTCTTCAAAATTCTCCTGTTTTTTGAATCTGTTTGATGATTCAAGTTCTTTGGGATAAATACATGAAAATTTACAGTTTTACACTAATGCCTTTTCTCTGGCTGCCCAAGGCTACTGACGTAGTTCACACAATAACAACTACTTAACATTTTATGGAGCACTAACAGTGGCCGAGAATGTCTTTGGCAATTATATATTCTGTTTTATTTCATAGTGACCCTGCGGGCAGGAGCTATTTGTTATCCCTATTTTTAGTTTCTGAGAAGAGCCCCAGAAATTGTAAGTGACTTGCTGGAGATCACACAGGTTGTCAGTGGCAGAATCAAACTAGAATTTAAATTTCCATACTCGTTTGTTCTTCTGCAACGTGCCAAGCAGTGTGTTGGTTGTTTGATTCTATAATTGCTGATTATGAAAACTCATGAATTATAAATAAGCATGAATTTGTTTTTACATAGCACCATTGTTAAGAAGAGGTAGGTAATAGAACTATGGAGTTTAACAAGATTATTTTGAATTAGTATGTCACACGTATATGAATTCAACTGTCTTTGCCTGAAGCTTGTACCTAATTTTTTGTAAAAGTACATTGCCTGTGTTACTGTCCCTTGCATCCCTTTCTCCATGTCCCAGATTACTTCTGTGAGGACTTGGTAGACTACACTTTTCTAAAAATGATATGCTGTTTTGTAGGAGAATATATTCTATAGTTCGTAACTACTTTTCAGAAGGATTGCCAAATGTGCACAAATTATATGTTTTTTTATCTGCAGTAGACAGGGTATTAGCCTCTAAAGATATCTAATCCTAATGTCCAGAACCAGTGACATGTATGTTACATGGGAAAAGGGTCTTTGCAAATGTGATTAAGGATGTTAAAATGTGGGGAAATTATTCTGGATTATTTGGATAGGCCAGGTATACTCACAAGGGTCCTTATAACCGAAAGAGGCGGGCAAGAGAGTAGGTATTAGATACAATGTGAAAAGAATTGACTGTCCGATGCTGACTTTAAAAATGGAGCCAAGGGGCGCCTGGGTGGCTCAGTGGGTTAAGCCTCTGCCTTCGGCTCAGGTCATGATCTCAGGGTCCTGGGATTGAGTCCCGCATCGGGCTCTCTGCTCAGCAGAGAACCTGCTTCCTCCTCTATCTCTCTCTCTGCCTGCCTCTCTGCCTACTTGTGATCTCTCTCTGTGAAATAAATAAATAAAATCTTTAAAAAAAAAAATGGAGCCAGGGACACCTGGTTGGCTCAGTCAGTAGAGCATATGACTCTTGATCTTGGGATTCTAAGTTCAAGCCCCATGTTGGGTGTAGAGATTACTTAAAATTAATAAAATCTTACCAAAAAAAAAAATGGAGCCAAAGAATGCAGGTAGTTTCTAGAAGCTGGGGGGAGGGGGGAAGGAATGGATTCTCCTCCAGAGCTTCCATATAGAACACAGCCCTGCTGACCTCTTGATTTTAGCCCAGTGAGACCTATTTCAGACATCTTACCTCTGGAATTACAAGTTTGTGTTGCTTAAAGCCACCGTGTTTGGAGTAACTTGTTATAACATCAGTAGGACACTAATACAGTGTCTCTTATCCTATTTTAAACTTTTAAAATGATGATGAAGTTTTCACAAGTTGGACTTAAAGATTTTGTAGGACAAGGAAAATGTCTTAAGCTTCTGATTAGTTGATCAATCTGTTCATTCTTTCCAAAGTACATCACAGATCGAATCTCCATTCGTGGGGTGAGCCTCACTCTTTAGGCCTTGATTGCTATGCTTTTGTCTTGTGTAGAAATAATTTCAGGGTCACACCAGAGCTATATAGTATTGACTTGTCAGTTTCTCATTGTAATATACAATACCGTGAAGACGTCTACAGATTAACATCTAACAAAGCCCATGCAAAGCTTAGCATTAGCTGATATTTTTTTTGAGTGTGAGAACCTGAGTATTGAATTTTTTAAATGATTGTCTTCCTTATTATTATTATTATTATTATTATTTCTTGTTTGTAGAAGGCAATGGCAATATAATACTGAAATACAGCAATGCGTAACTTGTTATGTAAATTGGATTACTGCCATGATTTTACAGTAAGTAAATACATATACAAAAGTAAAGTTTTATTACATGGTAAAGTACAATGAAAGACTGTTTATATCTTTGACTAAATTTTGACTATCACAGGGGTTAATTTTGGAAAAATGCCCAAATCCCCTGGATGCTAGTGATGGTGGGTTGGCCTCAGGGATTGCAC